AACCCAATCGTTTGGTACAGAAAGTTCAAGGTTTCGTATTTTCTCACGGAACCTTTTTTTGTTGTACAGAACCGAAAAAAAGGTTCTGTAAGAGATGGTTCTGTAAACCTCCTTTATTTTTTTCAGAGTAGATATACACTGAATCAGACACAAAAAGGTAAAATAGGCAGACAGCTAACCACGCCAAAAAGGCATATCACTCAATGTTGGTGTGCAATCACATTAGAGAAACACGAAAACACATTAACGCATTCACACACTTCCCCACCCACCACAAGTGTAGATGTCACGAAAGGCCGAATACCTCGTCTACACACGTATACAACATACCTAATGTGGGTGTATCGAAAGCTGTAAAACGGCGGCGTACAGATACGGACGCATCTCTGTTACGCGAATTATCACTCTAACATGTGGATGTGGGTGCGTGGGTTGGTGTGCATGTATTTAACTTGCGTTTAAGGAGGTGCGCATGTTTTCATGCTTGTCTACCGTAGCGACGCGCCAATATCGAATGATTTGCCTTTTCCACGTGGTTGGCAGTGCGCCTGTTTTTACCTTTTTACCTGTCATTCGCTGTAAATTTAGTATTTCGTTTATGTGGCTGTATCCATGGTTTACTACGATTTCGCAAGCCGATAGTTGCTTCGGCGCTCACCAGCATTGGTGGATGAACGGCTTCCACACTCGATTGTGACCCAAGGATGCGTATTGGTCATAGCCTTCAAATCAGGAAAATGTTTTTACTCAGTAGTTCCCCGAAGATACGGCGTCTCTGCGTCAGAGGCGGCATCTTCCGGAAGGATTTAGGTTAAAAATCGAAAATATTTTTTCATCGGGAGATGCTGGATATGGAGATGCCAAAGATGCGGCGTCTCTGCGTGAGACGCAGAATGTGCTTAAATAATTTTACATACGCATAGTATTTGTATTATGTGTTAGTTATAGTTTTGTATGTCGGCGTCTCCGTTGGTATCCCCAGCATGCCCGATATTTCGGATATGTGACACCTCTCATCTCCAATGAGCCTTATTCTTGTAAGAATATCAATTACAAAAACAAATGCGAGAAATCATTAGAACAGCCCATTTTGTAAATAACTGAATTCGCTATCTTTTCAGACGTTCTTGAGATCAAACGATAGAACTGGTATGGACAACATTTCAAAATAGATCAGAAACGCAATCTTCTTGGTGTCCGCTTTCAAATGCAATATCTAAATCGAAAAGCATAGATTTGCTAGTGGCTGAATCTATAGCGAATTGGTCGATGTTCTCGTGGATCATCTTCCAGATCGACTAATCCGACGACGGATTCCATCGGATCCTGAAACATTCTAGTAACCGAGGAAATCCAGTTGGATTCTGGGTTTCGGAACTATTGGCGGATCCGACGGAAGAATTTTAAAAAATATCAAAATTCTATTTAGTGCAAAAGAGCTTTTTAGAAGTTGAATATATCCAGGACGAACATTCCGGGGACCGGAACCCGTAGGATACTCCAAGGAATATGCGGGAAAGTCGCCATATCCTGCCGGAAAGAGTCTATGTAATTTCGACAATTGTGAAGTTCGCCAATTGTATATTTGTTGTTGGCGAACTTCCTCACGAAATTCGCCAATAAATAATATATTTTCACATTCTTGTGTTCACCAATTGGCGAATATCGTGAGGAATTTCGCCAAATTGGGGAATTACTAGTGGGACATTCGCCAAATGTAATCATTGAATGTACGAACTAAGCTCAGTTTGCTGAAATTATTTTTATTTCAAATAAAGAAAGAAATGTGATAGTTATATGAAAAAGCTTGTTCGTACAGTGCCTTCGGGGCAATTATGGAACTCGCACAGATCCCTTAGACCTACTAAAGTAATGCAAAATACCTAGTGAAAAGTCGATCTTAATTTCAAAACTCCATATTAGGGCATTACCTATTTGCTTACACCAGTAATGGAGGGTTACTTGTTACTTCGTATCTCGAACGATGACCAAGATTACTTCTGCAATAGTACCCATACCTGGCTGCTATGGTCTGACATGGTAGCTCTTCTGTATTGCTAATATCTGTAATGGGCAGGCCTTTCTTTTTCATATAATATGCAATAAAATAGAATAAATAACAAACTAATTAGTCTATAACTCAAGGTGTGTGTGTGTGTGACGGCACCGTGTGTCGTCACATGTCTTGTTTCTGATTTCGCGCGAGTTTCTCGCTATATGTTCTTTTTCTCTCTCTCGTCTTCATCGCTTTTTCTTTGTCGCGTTTTGAAATTGAATTATGTTATGTTTGGCGCGTCTAGTCAGTTGATACATTTTGTTCTGTCTATGAGAGTGTGAAAATTATTACGAGAGCTTAAAGATATATATAATACATTATTTGATTCTATCTAAAATATCAACTATTAGAAGAGTCATTATTCGTTTTAATCTTAATAATTATATGAAACTAACATTGCCGAATTAACTAAACATCGCAGGGGGGTTCAAATTTCTACCCTATATACTTCAATACTCCTTTCAGATCGTGTTTCACAAAAAACTGCCGTGATTCGCCAATAGATTAGACTAAGTTCTCAAAACGTCATCCTAGATAGAACTAAGTTTTCTCTATCAACTGAAATCCATTTTCATCAATTTTGGTAGTGCTAGATGCCAGCAAAGTGCTCATATTTGAGTCAGTGTAATAAAAACAATTGGTTGGTAGATTTAGTCAATGTACATCAAAAATGCATTCTGACTCGTGGTTTCATTTAATATGTGCCAGTCAATAGAGAATGAAATTTGGCGTCTTGTAGCTGAAATAAGAGTAGAGAAAGAGTCTTACTAAATTATTCATTATCGATTTCGTATCAAGACCATTGTTTTCATTGATGGTAGTCATCATGATAAAATATATATAAGCTAAGAATTGCCGACGAAAATAAACATGGAACATTCATTTGTACAAATGACTGATTTACCTGATGAAATAATAATAATTATTTCAAAAAACATTGGACAATCTTAAAGTACTTCATTCTTTAATAGATGTTAAGACACGTCTCAATCAAATTGTATAAACGAAGACATAATAATGGCTTAGAGTTTTATTAAAATAGAATGTTAAGCACAACAGAAGAAGCAGAGAATCATAGCACGTATTGATAAATTAGTTATAGACGTATAAGAAACACATGGATAGGTTAACCAGCTGATGTAGTTATATCAACAGAACAAATGAAAGAGAAAACTAAATGAATGTGACACTGATGGGCGTATATGTATAGCACAAATGAACAACAAATGAAAAGAAGAATTCAACATTGAAGTGCGTAACTAAGTTACATGGATGATATCAAAGAAATAAAAATGAATGGGCGATGATAGTGTTGGTGTATCTCAGCACAACCAATAATAATAAAAGGAATCAACAATGGCATCAGCTCATGTTCCTAAAAGAAAGGAAAAATGAACATCATTCCTTTCAATGATTACAGAAGGACTGACTTTCATCGTAGCATCAATCAAGATCGTATTGGTGTTGATATCCGCGTACGTAGGTTCTACTCGTGTTTTAAGCATAAGTGCCATTTCACCAGCTGTCTGTAACAAACCCAAAGACATTCTCTTAATAAGATGAAAAACAAAAAAACGAAGGATAACTCGCCAATAGGTCATTGTATCGAACTCTAACGAAAAAATGTGAACGATGTTTTTCATCTTATTCAATGTAAACGGCGGTGAAAACTCTCTCGACGTAGCATTTTCTGGAAAAAGATTAATTCAATGGTTCCATTCGCTGATGAATGAATTCCATTTCATCCGAATTATCCAAAACAGAAAGATAATTTGAGGTCTAGACATCTAAACGTTCATGTATATTCAAAGAAGTCTAAATTTGATGTTTCGGAAGAAAGATTTTATCATTTTCTCTGCCAAAAATCAGGTTAATATGTTTGATTAATTTTCCTGGTACCTCAATAATGGCCATTATTTTGAATGGGCTGCTTGCGTGTGAATGTATTCTTTTTCTGTGCCTTTTTTCTCTTCTCTAGTCATTTTTTTATTTTTCTATACAATGTGACCGGTTGGAGCATATGTCAAGAGTAATCGGATATTTTCTATTTCTCTTTTCTCTTCACTTGTCTTCTCTTCCTTTCTTTCTATGTGGCTTATCGTGTACTAAAGAAATACTTATGTTGTCGGCTATACGTTTGTGTAGTAAAATGTAATGTTTGTTGGTCATAGTTACCCAGTTGAATGCGCACGCACATACATCAAGAATGAAGATGTTATGTCAATTTATAGAGCAGAGGAGAAAAAGAAAGATATATATATAACAGTGTAGAGCTAAATCGATTCGGTTGAATGACAATACAAATGGTGAAATTCGCATAATTATCACCAAGTTGATTTGAAAAAAAGAGAATAAATCGATCGAACCCAGATAAATGAGAAACTTTCGTTTTATTTTTCAAATAATTCAATCGATTTTATATATCAAAGAGTTTCTTTGTTCTTCTGGCCTTCCATCGAGGTCTGGTGAAAAAAGGGATAAAGAGAGTTTGGATTAAAATAAAAAAGAGCATTTTTAATAAAAAGAAGAAAAGGAGGCGGTTGGTTTTTCCATTTCCGAAAAACATAAGTAACACTATAAGTGAAGTGAAGGCCATAAACACTACACGAGTTAATACTGACGAAGGCGTATGGGTGTGAATTTTAAGCCACAATCTCATTTCATCGATCGTAATACTGAAGCATATATTTCGACATATTTTTCCGTGTACTGTCGTAAACGACCGTGCTTGTTCGCCATGGGATCATACTAAAGAAGCTCATCAAAAATCAGACAACTCACTTCGAGTATGACACTCCTTTGAATAGAGAGAATAGAAATCAGCAGGATGTGGGCGTAAGTATGTGCGGCGGGTAATAATAGACCATTTGTGACATTCTTTTTAAATGCATTTTACTTTTGGGATCATTAATTCCTCATTCAGGGCATGAAACATCTCCAGCCAGATTCACACCCACACTCCAGAAAAGATTTGACTATCGTACTAAATCTACCTACTTATTTCGATTAGATTACTAAATGCAGAAAAAAAGTCGAACGAATCGGTGTTTGACTTCTGTTGATTTTATGAAAGTAAAATAATAAGAAATGAAATTAATCAGCATCATATAAGCTAAAACTACTAATACGAAATAAATGAGTCTCAATTGACTATCAAGAATGTTAAAGCCACTCGATGTAAAATTAATTGTAATCTATGAATTAATATTAATTTTATTGAAAAAATACAACATAATAACATGAGCAGATCCCTGTCTCTTCACTAGAGCATCTCAGTATAGTCCTGATTACTTAAATTCTAAGTACACACCAGAGATGTTCACAGAGCGATTTTTTACACGCTGCCCTGCCCTGCTGTTTAAAAAAATGCAAAAATTTAAAAAGCGCCTTGCCCCTTTCCTGTCCTGTTCTCTGACCAGGGCAGGGTACGGTACCATGCTGAATTGACATACGTAGGATATTTTTGAACAGAATCTGAGTAAGTCCTGAATGGATTCATTTCAAAGAGCTTTCATAAAGAGACAAAATACTTTTCAAGCAGAACTTGACGAGTTCAATCGATTCTAATTATAAATTCTACTCAAAAACTTCCTGGAGAAAGCTCAAACTCTGAAAAGTCATATAAAACTCAGTCAATTTTGATAAAATCCATCGTGATTCGCCCAGAAGAGCTTTCTAATTACTCATACTCTTTCCCAAGTAAATCTTGGCTTACTCTATCGATTGGACACCTTCTGAGTTCGATTCAACATTTTCGACTCATATAAATCGCAAAACCAGGACCGGATCCCTATGTTTTTTGCTAAATCTGGTCGTGGTTGGGTCAAGGCAACTTTCCGACGCAGTCACGCTGGTTTTCAAGCAGATTTTGACTAGCTCTATCGATTGGAAACTATCATGACTATGTTGGAAAGTTCTTCTTGGTCAATCACGATGGGATTTACTAAAATTGACTGAATTTTGTATATCGTTTTTTATAGTTTTTGCAATTGTAACTTTTTCCAGGAAGCTTTCGAGTAGAATAGATATCTGGGCTGAATAGATCTCGTTGAGGTCTCATTTGAGAATAGTTCGTCTTTCTTTGAAAAGTCCTTTGGAGTAATTCATATATTCGATTCTCGAATTCTGACCTAAGATATCCTACGTTTTCTATGGCCACTATTTATAATTATCGTCATTCTATACCATGTTCATGCGGTGACCAATATATAGAGGAGTTTCTGATTACCGGTTGGTGTCGCTTGCTGAACTCTATTTTTTATTTTTGACTCTTAGAAATTAAAAGGATTTCTTCAAAGCGAAAATTCAAACAGCTGACTGTTCACTTTCTAGGGTATAACTTTCACTCTGTTCTGCTTTATGGCAGGATAATCTCGTCTTGTAGACATCTCTGGTACACACGTCGCATGAGCTTGAGCGAAACATACTTTTCGATAAAGATATCATTCATTAAGCTACTAAAAGTATTTTGACAATATAAATGTAACTCAGTACAGAAGAGTCAAGATTTACTAATTTTTTTCATCTTTATATATCATGCATCTGAATCAAACACGTATTTGTATTTTCAAAATGAAAAGATAACTTGAAGTGGCCGTATTTAAACGATTAAGTAAATTGTAAATAACGATTAACAATTTTTTTTAATCATCATTATCTTAGCGATATAATTTTCATATACATAATTTGTAAAACAATATTCATGAAAACTGTTCAGTTGCTTTTGAAAATATAGTCTAATCAGTTGAAAATTGAACATATGGGAAAATAAATTGTAGCAAACAGAATTGAATGCATAAATTTATTCCAAAAGAAGTATAATTAATAAGCTATGAAACAAAAAAAGCACAATACGAAAAGTTAACTCTATCAGTCACCGCCTGGAGTTGTTAGAAATTGTTGCATGATTAGCAGTCACTAAAATTATGTAGAAAATTGATAAGCTTTGTTAAATAAATGAATTACCTAAGGTTTTTTCGTATTCTTCTTTTAAACATCGATAGATAAATAAATATTGATGCTAATATTAAAAGAATGAGTGTGTCTTTACTTTCCAAAAATCTCATTTAAAATTATTTTTACCTCATTTTGAACCATTTTATCTCTACATTGTCTTAAACTAGAGATAGTTCCAAAAATATCTAAATAACCATCGAGTGGCTGTTCATCAAATTCTTGCAATAATCGATCAAGTGCAATGAATGTTCCACTACGACCAACGCCAGCACTACAATGCACCAATAGTGGTCCATGATATTCTGGTTGATATTCCGAACGAATTAAACGAATAAATTTAATAAGTACATCACTATTTGTTGGTATAGTATGATCATCCCACATTTTAAATATATAATGTTTTGCGGAACGAATTTCATCGTTCTAAACAAAGGAATCATCATCATATATTCATAGAGATATAACTCGTTTGGATCCCACCCTTTTAAATCGAATATAACGTAAGTCATAAGCGGTCACACTAACACATGCAATGACACGTGCGGAAATATTACCAAAGATTTCAATATGATGCAAATCCACTGGCCAATATCGCTCACACTTACTCTAAAGAAGAAGAAAATAAAAAATGATTGTATTTAATTAATATTAGACTGTTCAATAGGTTTTTTTCTAAGAACAATAGATTTCGAATACTATTCTAAAAAACTGCACTAATCCTAAGATTCATCACGAGAATGATTTATCGAGTAAAAGAAAATTAAGGTATACACTATGGTATGTCTATGTTATTTACTGAATAGATCTTTTACTAACTATCGTAAAATGTCAACGTTTCAGCTGATAAACAAAACAAAAACTAACTATTTCGACTTTCAACCACAATAAGGACTCACCATTCCGCATTCTATGAGTTCTGTAAGCATAACAATAATCGTAACATTTTGTTCCCAAATCATATTCCAATGGTCATTAATTGTTGACTTAAGTGGACCTTGACATGCAATATATTCGCGAGGATTATGTAATCCCTATTTTTGAAGAATATTTATTTTCTCAAATAAGTATTCTTAATATTAAACTTACAGTAATAAAATTAGCATTGATATACCCTGGATCACATTCATCACCAGGTATTAACTTAACACGTGAATGTTCATCTGAAGAATAACAAAATAAATATACTCATCGTGAGAAAATATCTAGTCAAATTCATACAAGGTCTTATGTTTTTATATCGGTTTTTAAATAATTGATTGCATCGTGCAAATTGTGGAACTTCTTCAAGGCTGATTTGAAGTTTCTAAAGATCAAATAAATGTTTTATGTTAATGATTGATCTAGAACAATTCGTCGAACGGTAATTGAACGATGTCATTCGGTTATAGAGCTAATCGAGTACTCAATGTGATAATTAGTCGTATTATACAATTGGTAACGATGCTGAAAAATAGAATTAGAGTAACAAGCATTTCCTAGCATGCGAAAGAAAACGCTCCGAAAGGTTCAGAAAAAAAAACTAGCAATCTATGTAAGAGCAAGAAATATTAGATACAAATGTAAATACGAATGTTAATTGAACTTTTCTGATTGCGCATGAGATCTTATAAAAGAATAAGTAGTATGAGCTGTGAAAACTTTCCTTTTGAAGGATCGTCCTCTAGCAGCTTGTGGTTATTCTTTAACAATTTAATCTAGTAAAACTTTGACTATCGAAATTCAATTAGTATTTGCCAACTATATACCATACAAATTTATACTACGAGTAAAGTCTTCAGTTTTCAAGGGGGCATTTCGTTCCTCGAATGATATTATATATGATTGAATGACATATCTGCAAATCGAAGTTTTTCGAAAGTAAAATGAGTACTAGGTTACCACCATTAAGGATGAAAAATATTCTAAATTACGACTAATTGTCGATTTATCCTTTAATATTTAAAATAAAAACTTACATCGAATTCATTAGATACATTATAATAATTATTTTTAATCAATTTTTCATACTCGGATGAAAGATCTTTTATTTTAATTGGTCTAAACAATAGAAATTTATTAGAACTAATTGTATTTAATAGTTTTACCTTGATTTTAAAACATTTCTGAAATAGAAAATGCTGTACATAAAAAAAATGACAATGATAAATTAAACTATACTTTTTTGAATCTGTTGAATGGATTGATTTCACATTGGGATATCTATTAATAGCATTAATACTGTTTTATTTTTAGTATTTCGTTCAAATTGACTCACATATTCACTTGATTAACAATATTATTCAATGTCATTGATGCATTTGTTTTACTGATTTTTGTTACTTCTTGATGATCTTGATGAGTCAAAATTTTCCTAATAGTTTCTACAATAGAAAAACCATTCAAGTCACCTTCAATAAAACCTTACCGACGATTATGTCGATATACAAACAAGAAAGTAAACAGTACGACTAGAATCAGAATCAACAAAATAACTATGACGCAAGAAATAATCATAAGCTGAAGATGAGATCCTTCTAACCAAATAGTAAAGTGAAATTCTTTATCATGAATCGAAGAATGGTACATACTCTTTCTTGCTTCATGATTGACAGTCGAATTCAAAATAAGTTGAATTTCAATAACATTTGATATAACAGTTTCCCATCCGATTTGCTTTGTTTCAACATAAACTCTATAAAATTCGTCCGGTATTAAATCAGTGCAAATACTTGAGTTAACAAATAGTCGACGTTGTTTTAATGAAATGATTTCACATATTAAATTAAAATGATCAAAACATCCAGATGGTCTATTAAAATCAACTTGAATGTGTCTGAATATTGGTGAAAGAGAAATTATTCGAAGATTTTCAATTGATTGTAAGGCTTAAAAAAATAAAAAATAAAATCAGGATATGGCCAAATCTATTGATTTTACGAGTTTGAAATTGAACACGAGTAGAACTCGAATTATCAACTTGAATATCACATTGAGATGTTGAACATAGAGCATGAATGTTTGTTTGATTGAATAAAATGTGAAATTGATACCGACACCCACACTGAAGTTGCTTACAATTAAATACTCTTTCATTTGAAATACATCGAGTTGAATATGATATTGGAAAAGTATTGTTTAATTCTGCAGCACAATAATCGTTTTCTTTCCAAGTACGAATCCGTAATGAAGATGGATCTTTTTTTTAATAATCATCTCTAAATAAAATATTAAAATAAAATAAATTGACTTACTTGTATTCACAAGTTTAAATATTGTTTGTGTTTTCCAAAAGAAAATATTTTGAATCGAATGGCGCTGAATACTAATAGATATATTATAAATTGATCCTGGCGTAAGTTGATTAAATCTATTTGATGTTGAACAAAATTCTAAACTGCCATCAATTATAGATTGAATACAATAAGTTAACTTCACTAGTGATAAATCATGTCGATTCACATTTACAACTAAACTATTTTCAGAATGTCGAAGAATATTTTCAATTACTATTTTTTTAAAATCTAAATAGATTTTATTGTATTTTGTGTTTATATCAAACCGATATGAAAATATTTGCCTGTTTGAATATAATAATCAGTCATCTGAATCAATGATGACCAATGAATTTTTGAAATATTAAACTCCAATTGATAAATACTCGCCTCAGTTAAATTAATAAATAATGCTTTATTACCATCATTTTCTATTGGATTCTCGAATTTATTTGTTTCAATGTTCTACAAACGACCTTGGACATGAAATGAATGATTAAGCCAACTTAATCGAACAGCTTCTTCATTCAGAAATTGATGTCTGATGGAAGCAATCGGTATTTGACTCAGATCTGTAAAAATGATCCACGCGGTTTCATGTAAAAAGTTAGTTTATCTATTTATTACTTGTTTTGATGGAGCATGCACCAGTTTTATTAGCATTATAGTTTGGTAGAATTTTTTCAAGCTTAGCTATTATGTAGTATTGTGTACCTGATTCTAAACTATATGGCTTTGTTGAACAAACATCTTTTGCAATATATGGATCACATGAAATAATCGCTATTTGTTTTTTCTCATCAGTTAATAAAGATATTGTTAAATTAGTATAACCAGTAGTAGTTAAATTTTTCCAAGAAAAATCAATTCGCTGGTAATTTTCGTTAGGTTTACATGAGAAATTCAAATCTTCCAATTCTTAAGAAAATCGTTGTTCATGTATATTTTTTTTTAATATTTTTTTTCTTTCATACCGGTATGAACAATGGTCACATCACCTGATAATTTCTGATCACTGTCAGTTGATACATAATAACTTAAAATAAACCATTGTGCAGGACTTAGATTTGTAAATAAGCAATTGTAGAAAGGTGAATAAATTGATGAATATTCTACTAAGCAGGTTTGATTAATACTTGTTATTTCAACAACCAATCGATAGAATAAGCCAGGCAAGAAGAATAGTGTGTCGATCGATGTTGGACTATTTGTTGAATTTAAATATTTTGGTTTTATTATTTCTAGTAAATGTTGAAATATTAAATCAATGTTTTTTATGAAATGGCATATTTTACCATAAAACTCTTTTCTTGTTGACAGCGTAATATTTCTTATGCTACATAAAAAATATCCATCGACTGTGTAACGAACGCCTGTTTTACAAGAAAAAAAAACAATTTTTGAATCAGATTCTGCTCACTCATTAATCAAACCGTAGATGAAATTTTCACATGTGATTAATCCATGATGTTTAGAAGTAGACAAACATCGTCTGGTTTCATCGAATGTTGATGTTGAAGGTGATGATTGAAAAATCAATGTTATATTTGACTCACGTTTTGATGAACATGTGCTATTGAATAGTATGTCCACTGAATAAAAATTTGCTTGTTCTGCTATTCGAGATGATCGAATAGTTAAAGAGACAATTGAAAATAGCAGAGGCACTAAAAATTGGTCAAAATATTATAAAGAATAAGAAAGAAAGTGAACGATACCCCCGATCACCATCCTTATTTCACCAGTAAAGTTTAGGTAGAAAAACATCAATTAATTGTCAATACTTCTTTTTCTCATTAGTTGTTTTAGAAAGATGATATCATTTTATCAGTTATTGAAACTGGGGTAAACAAGAATCGAGAAAAAATACAAAAACACTTTACCTTCGGTAGTTAAAAGAATGGTTGCAGACGAAAACGATATTTTTGTATAATTCGAAGTCAAAATTTGATAATAAGAATGATTTGTCTGTGCTATAGTCGATGATTGTGCAAACATTTCTGAGAAAACGTTCTGTTCTGAAACTCTCGAAATACTTCTTTCATCATTGTTATTATTGTGAAATTGATTAAAGGACATTAAATTTTGACAGTTCCATAATAATATCTAAATATTTCTGTAGTTTATTGTTGCTTGAAACCTTTTTTTACTTAACAAGTACTTACAAATAATTCAACTATTTTTCGATTTACCATCAAGATTAATATAAAATATATGTGACAATCATGGTGCTTTTCTTTTCACAAGTGTGAATAAAAGAAAGAACACGAACAAGATTAAGTAAAAAATTTATAATCACGATGCCATTTGTACGTTCCCCAATGCATGTAGACGACGCGACTTTGTTTTCTCTACGGACCCTTGACGCAATACTAATAGAGTAAAGAAAAAGAGAATCCAATATGAAAAAAAATCTCATATCCCTCTTTTTTTATAATTCCTCTATGAGTTGCAACAGTATTGTGGTTTGTATGCTATACATAATTACTAATACCTAAAGAGAAAAGGGTAGCAGATCAATTAGTAAAAGAAAAACACCAGAACTATACAGAGTATTTACTGATTAAATGTCGATCTTATTTCTTAAATTTTATCTATTTCACATTCTATGAAATGTAATATGAAGATTTAGATAAATAATCATTCAGAAACTTTCCCTTAGATGTCAATTATTATTAAAGTTTATCAGACAAAAGATGTGGATTGCTAAAAATTATCTATCGAAGCATCTGTCAAGCTATGCTCATAGGTTAGCTGAATATTAATATCATGAAGAATCGCTATCATCAAATTGATATTTATAGTTAATCATTCTATCGTTTAAACTACAACTACTGATTTTATTTTTGAGAACTAATCAACAACGAGATGGAAGAAAAATTAAGAATGAATGAAATTCAGAAAATGTTCAATATGTATCTCATCAATATAATTTCAAATCAAGCACTCGATATGGTGCACATTGAGCGAAAATAAAAATAGCGAAATGTATTTTCAGCGAAAGAAAAGCTCGAAAATTACAACAGCGAAAAACATTTTCAGCGAATATCTCTTCGCTCAAACTTTTTTCGCTGTTTTGCATTCGCTCAAAAATTTTCGCTAAAATTGTTTTTGCTGATTTACCCCCATACCTAATAATATAGTAGATATACCATGAAGAATTACAACATATTTAATAAAAAGAAATTAAGAATATTAACAAATTTGTCAATTTTCTACTCGAATTATTGTCATAAGTTTCTGTTTTAAATATCGTGTCAATGTATATTTCGATGAACTGTGATCGACCAAGTTGAAATATCTGAATATTAACCTTCAAGGATATCATCTATTACTATTTTCAGATGGGCTTAACTTTATTGTCTGTTTTATTATTTATTTTTTGTGTACACATATAAACATGAGAAGGATAGAGTTTTACCAAAATAGTGATCATATCAAGAGTACAATATATGAATATCATTTACTTATAACATTGAATACATAATTGTCTACTGTACCATATGAACAACGAATTCAGAAAAAAAATGATATCTACATATATACTGTAGTGTTTGGCTGTTGTGTGACTCTGAGACATGTGAATATCAATGAAATGATTTCAATGATCTCGTTCAGTACACTCAGAATTCCATAAGATGACAAGTAGAACTACATGTCAATAAATAATAATGTATTGAATCTTTTTTTCTAAACTTAGTTCGTAGTGAAGGGTACTACAAAAGATTATAAAGCTATACTCGCCTTAAATATAAATCTTGAATTAGTTTGTAATTAATCGAATAAATGGACATATAGTGATAGTTTCAATAATAATTTGACAACAGTATGGGCATGAATTGGATGGATTCGATGGTTATATTTATGATTCGGTATAATCACTGATGATTTCTATTGCGTCGATAGGACCTAATAAAAATTTCACTCAAGCTTATCATTTCTAGTTTGATGTATTTTTTAGTAAACAAAAGTATAGATGAAATAAAAACCTTAAAATTTAAACAATCACAAATACTTACTGGAACTATTTAGATATATTTTCCTCTTATTCAAACGTAGTTTTACGAATATTGAATTGGAATTCGAACATTAAGAGTATTTTAAGTAGTTCAGTTATTTTTTGATCAATGAATTTCGTTTTTATTTCATTTATTCTATGTTTACTTCTTTTTACAATGGAAGGTTGTGAACTGTTAAGCAGTAAAATTGACCTTGTTCCGGGGAAATGATCATTCTCATCGAGAAACGAACGTATTTAAAAGATGAGCTGCCCATGGCTTACCTGGACAGAGATATTCGATTTTTCAGTAAGCTTTCTCTGCAGAACCTTACTTTCGAAGCAAAATCAAATTTTTGAATGTCGACCTGAAACGTTGTAAACATGAAAACCTCAATGAGGCTAGCACATAAAACAAATTTCAGCATTTTTGAACAATCTTTCATTGAGATATGANTACAAAGTTTCAGGTCGAAATTCAAAAATTTGATTTTGCTTCGAAAGTAAGGTCCTGCAGAGAAAGCTTACTGAAAAGTCGAATATCTCTGTCCAGGTAAGCCATGGGCAGCTCATCTTTTAAATACGTTCGTTTCTCGATGAGAGTGATCATTTCCCCGGAACAAGGTCAATTTTACTTCTTAACAGTTCACAACCTTCCATTGTTAGCCTGTCTTCAATATCACGTGAATCAATAAAATAACTTTTATTATAGAATGATTATTGTATCCAATATTGAGTCAAGAAAATTATTTTTATTTTACTTAGATAATAGGGACAACTCAGTCAACATAGATTTTAAAAAAAATTGATGCAGACTTTTCACGAAATATCTCACTAATGATAATTTGAATATTAATTTATCATCATAAAATATCTAACGTAATCTATATTTTAGTATATAATGAGATTTTATCAAGCTTCCAGACTAATTATATCTATCGTTAAATCACTGATAAAATGATGGCAAGCTTCTCTTTCACCAATACTTCATTCTTCACTAACTGTTCATCTGCACGGTTTTTTTTTCATCATTTTTATCGTATATCGATACGAACAAAATTTCATCGGATTATGAATATTACACGATCTCTGAAAATAGATCAAGTCATCGTTATATACAAATATTATTTATTGATAGCACACTTAATTTATCTTTCATGTTTTATTTCCTTAATTATTCATTATTTAACTGTAAAATATATCAAATAATTCGTGGAAAAGATATTTTAATTTGCGGTAACTAACAAGAATAAACAATAATTTGATTAGGTTTCGGTAGCGTAGACTTATATGAACGTGATTTGGTTAAATAGTAGAGAATAAAAGTGACTGATTTATAGAGAAAATGCTGCTACTAATCCAGATTTTGAAAAAGTAACATCTAAACGTTAAAAAAAGTAGTCTCAAACACAATCCAAAAAAATCCGTCACGGTAGCGGTTAACTTTTTCGATAAGCGACAAGTATTTAATCGACTAGAAATTTGATCTCCCAAATATTTCTCGTTATAACGTAGACACCCTTTACTATTGCTTCTACTTGTTCATATAGTAAATAAATGTATCGTCTTAATTAAAATGGATTTTTTTTTAAATGATTTCGTCAATTAAAAGTCATTGTAATGTTTTGATAGATTGTAAAAACTAGACTGCTGTTTCTTTTTTATTTCTAATGTTAGAAAAAAATTTTCGTGATATTTGGACTGTTTTTCTTGTTCGAAACCTGCAGTATTTAATTTTCTACAAACATCGTTACTAATAGATTTTTTGTCATGTATTGAGAACAAAAACTAACGAGTGAAAAAATACTGAAAAACAGGTTAAAAAATGTATATTTATAAAGTTTGAAAGCAAAGCCACTTCCAAAAAAGTTAACTTTGTTTTTCTTGTTTATTTCTCAAAAACCGCGGTTTGCCAACCATCGTTTTTATTGTTCTTGAATAGTCGTTGCATTATCTGAAAAAGTATCAATGCCGTGAATATTTTTTCTACTCAGTTGGATTCAATTACTGACTTTGAATGCATCAATTTGATTGCTGTTATCAGATAACTGCCTGAAACAATATCTTAAAACTTATTTCAAAAATATTATGCTTCTGAGAAAAAATTGAAATCGATTGATACATTAAGATAAGACAGTTGCACATTGATTATCTTTTCAGTATTTTTTCTTGTAAGATTCCAAAACAATAAAAATTGATGGAGCTATTAGCAAAATGTTGAGATTACTATTTATTCTGGGTTACATCTGATATATGTTGAGAATAAAAGTGCAATTCTAGTTTCGATCACAAAAAATTAGAAACTCAATAAAAAACAATATTGCTCCAGATCCAATGGGAATTTCAACTGTCTCTCAAACAAAATAAGGACTCAATTTGACATAAATTTCTACAAATGAAATCAATAAAATTTGCATAGAAACACCATATGTATTTTATTAGCAATATCTTTTTTATTTCGTAAACATTTTACAAGGCAAAATATTTCATTATATTCACCGACATTTACATAACGATCTCGCTTAGAATAATATTTTATTCAACAAAAGGATCGCAATTCCTATTTGATTAGAAGAAAATCTTACTAATGAACCTCGAGGTGATACCTTCTGGAGTCTTCTTGAAGAGTAATCAAATAAAACTGATTTGAGAAGTGTCATATTTCAAATAATTATCACACTCTCATCCCTTCTTCAATAATACTGATTATCTTTGGTAAAGTTCGTGATCTGAATTATTATTAATCCAAAAACAAATTCGCGTTCTTAAATTCATTACTACAAGTATCTTTCTTCAATATGATCTTCAAACATTTTGAAGAGAAAAGTAAAAAGCACCTTCTATTATATGGAGTAAAATTCAACTGATCGTCACAAAAAAATATTAAGAAAAAATATAAATATTTATTATTCTAGTCAGCTAGCAGAAGAATTGATAGATTACACATCATCAGATTGTTGAACTCATTGTGACTGTTGACGTTCTACTGATTGTTGATTTTCTTTTGCTTTGTCGTCTGTGTGTAATTGCTCATTATGATGTGCCTGTTTCATGTTCTCAGGAGATTGCTCTTTGTCGGATTTAGATTTTTCTTCGAATTGTCGTTTTTCTCCTGAAATAACAACATAATTCTCATAAGGTACTGGTTCTAGTTTTATAGATTCTTGTTGAATCGATCTTTTTATTTGTTCTGTGTCGATTGTCGATGTTATATTTGATGTTTCTAGGAATGAATCTTGTTTTATTGATTCTTGTTCAATCGACTTTCCCGTTTGATCTTCTTTAGTTGATGATGTAATTATCGACGTGTTTGGTGGTAAATCTTTTCTTGTGTTTTCGGATTCAATCGATTTTTCGTTCTTGGCCATCAATGCTATATTTGGTGTTTCAAATGATAAATCTTTTTCAATTAATTTTTTTTCAGTCAACTCATCTGCTTTTCCTTCGTCGACTATCGATGCTGAAACTACTGCTTCAGGTGGTAAATCGAAAAGAAATAAAAATTGAAACAATCGAGTTGATCGTCCTTGAGAACAACTTCCACCCGTAATGTCACACAATTGCTCATAGAAAGTATCCTGTATATCTTCCTGATTTTTAACTTTATTCCATATAATAGGTAAGAGTTCTTCAACGTCAATCTCGTTACAAGAGTCAAAATTACTATTTCGACTTGATGTGAGAATTCTTAATGAACGACGTGCACGACCAATACGTGCCACATTAAAATATTTTTTGTCAAGCCATCGTTCGATATCTTTAATCGTATCATTAAATGAATCACAATTTGGAAGATATGTATGAACTAACATTGAACGCATTTCAAACCATTTCTTACGTAATTTACCGTCATAATCATGTGTATTACATGAAGTCGACATTGATTTCAAATCTAAATCAAGATTATCAATTGGGAATGTCACGCGATTTCTTTTCCTAAATTATGAAGAAATAAAAATGATAAGCATTGCACAGAAAGAACTCCTAATAAAACCACGAATATAACATTTATACATAGATGCTTTATTAGATGACAAAAAAATTCGACACAAAAATCGAAAATTATTTGTCTAAACATTGTGAAATTTAGTTCAAATATATGATTCATCATTAATGTTCTTCATAACAGAACACTTACGAACGCGAAGTTTATATCCAATAAATAAAATAAAACATAAAATAAAAAGGCACATCTATATATTATCCAATCGTTTTTCTAGTAAGAGAAACAACTTTTTAAAAGCATAAGAAGAGAAGCCATGCTAGAAAAAATATTGGCTAGCGTCATCTATTTACGGGTGATTCATTTTCGATCACTTTTACGAATTGTATTCGACGTAGGTTACATAAATATTCCAGTTCAGATAATTGCTCGATTTGACTTTGTGAGAATAAAAGAAAAGAATTAATGGACAATATCTAATTTCTAATTGGTTTACATATAAATCCTCTGTTTGTTTTTCTATAAATATTTTCTTTGATTGAAAATAACTAGTTAGATTTTAATTAAACCAATTACTCCAAAAATAATTGATCATTTATAAAAAAAAAAAAAAAAGATGGCCGGTATTTCAGCAGCACGCCTCACAGAAGAGCGAAAAGCATGGAGACGAGATCATCCATTTGGCTTTATTGCTGTAAGTAGAAACATTGTTTCATTTCGAATACGACGTTATTATTGTTTAGAGACCCTCTAAAAATTTAGATGGGACATTAAATCTTCTCAACTGGGAATGTGGTATTCCAGGTATATAGAAATCTCAATCATTTTCTGGAATTCAAAACTATTTTTATTCATTAGGCAAACCAGGTACACCATGGGAAAATGGTTTATTCAAATTACGTAAATGCATAAAATTGAATTAAACTATATTAATTTCGTATTCAATTTAGGCATGGTATTTAAAGATGATTATCCATCCACACCACCTAAATGTAAATTTGAACCACCACTCTTTCATCCGAATATTTATCCCGTAAGTAAATTTGAAATCTTAAAATAAATCTTCATCTCATTGACAAAATTAGAGTGGAACAGTATGTTTATCATTACTTGACGAAGAAAAAGATTGGCGTCCGGCAATAACAATAAAACAAATTCTTCTTGGTATCCAAGAATTATTAAATGAACCAAATCCAAAAGATCCGGCACAAGCTGAAGCTTATGCTATTTATATGCAAGATAAAGTGGAATATGAAAAACGTAAGAAAATAATGTTTGTTTTCAACAGCAGGTCATTTTAATTTATCTATTTTATTTTAGGAGTTCGAGAACAAGCTGCACGGTTTCGGGCAACAGATATTTGAAATGAAAGTGGGAAAAAAGTATTTATCGTGTGTACAAACGAACAGAAAAATGCTTGATGAGTGCGAGTCTTCTTTTTTTTTCGTTGTATCGATGTTGTTCGAGCGTGTTCAAAACTCGAAATGATCTCTTTTTTTTCTTCAAATAATTTTTTTATGACGTGCTTCTATCTGTTCATAAGTACATTCTAAAAAAGACTAAATTTTATCATGAAATAAGAACGAACAAGAACTATTATTTTATTTGAATTTCTATTAAAAAGAATATTTTGAATTTATTATTTTTATCCCTCAGTCAATGCATTGCAACATGCAGTTATCATCAATGGCCTTGCCACAGAGAGCTGGGTTTAATATGTAAGCATCATTGGGATATAAACATTCTTATACAACAAATGTGGCGCGTCTCGTATACTGTCTTGCGAACTACAGATACAAATGAAAGAACGAACGAACGAAAGAATGAATGATGACTATACCCACTCGACTATTTTCTCGTTTGACGGAATAGAAGAGAAAAAACAATACGTTTATGAACTCTTTTCTCTGCTATATTTCAGTATATGCTTAGGTCATTGCTCAGATAGAGAACAAATAATGTGAACCAACAGAAGTGATTTAACTTAATAAATATTGTTGTCAGTAGACAGTTACGATGTTGAAGAAAAAAAGAAAAATACATAAAATATTTCATATAATTTAAATGAAATAATGTTGCTGCTGCTGCTTAAAAAATTTTTTAAAAATCAGGGAGAAATAGTTTGTTTTACATTTTTCATGGATAATATCATCACAAATTAGCTTACTTTGAATCTTTCTGTTTGAAATCTGTTGCTTTTAAAAATAAAATATAGAATAATGTTACATTCCATATGATTTGTTAGATTCAGAAAAAATCAACAAAATACTTTTCAGGTATTGTAATTACTTAATCTTATAATTACAGATAATAGGGAAAAAAACTAGCACACGTTTCCACACAACACAAGAACATCAGAAATATTCTGACGGCTTTTTAAATTTCTTATTGAGATCAAATAGGCTTGTGAAAGCTAAAAAAATGCAGCAACATGCACGTATTCTAATTTGATTTCAGCATTGTTATTTTTGTACTGTACATAAAATATTATAAAAAAAGAGATAGTGAATAATTGGCATTATCATTAAAACCATACCTGATACAATGTGTTTAATATGTACAAAGTATAAAGTTGAATGTTTCATTGTAAAATAGATAACAAAAGAATGATCTACGAACAGGCAAGCATATGAAAATCAGCATTCTTTTTCTATTTTGTCTTGGTCTATTCACAAAAGAAAGATATGCAGAATTTGAACCTGTCACTTCTACTCAACTTTGTGTTAGTTTTATTTGTCCATTAATAGATTTTGAATATACAGGATAGTATGAATAAAATTTGAATCCATATGTTTTCATTTGTATTGCAGATTACTAGCTTTTCTATTTTCGTTCACTCAGACTAAATGTCGATTATTGAGCATGAAGCAAATACTTCAATAGGTTCAGCTGTAGCTCACACAGCGATCGCTGAAAATGTTGCTGTTAAATCAACTGTTAGTACTGAAACACAATCAAAAGTCAATATGGAAAATACACAAAAAATGGCTGCATTAATGAGTAAACTGGGTAAAATATTTTATATTTTATATTTTAATTCTTATTTTCTTATTCAATGAATTAAATATTAGGTACAACTCATCAACAAATCGATGAATATTCTCGTCGTCGTACTGAACAGATATCTGAAGAGGTGACAACAGCCATTATAAAAGTTGTTACTGATACTCAAGCTCAACAAGGAAAATTACTAGTTGATGCTAATGCACGTTCAGTTGCTATTGAAGAAGAATATAAATTTAAATTGCAAAATTTTGTTGAAGAACTTGATATAGTTAAAGCACAAAATTTAGGTGTCCTCGAAAAAGATTTGAATTTACGTCAAGATATGATTCTTGAACAAGCTCGAAAACGTATCGATTGTTTAAATGAGGAAGCTAATCGTTTGAAAATGGGTGTTCTACGTGAAGCTCAAACACAGGCAAATGCCAATGTCGATGCTATTACACAAGAAGTTGCTGCGTAAGCTTATTTTAAGAGAAAAAGCTTTAAATTATGAATTATTGATTTTAGCTTGGGAGCGGCAGATGCTAATCGACTTTTAACATCAACATCAACTACAGTTATTCGAACTGAAGCTACAGCTGCTGGTGAAACACATCTTGTTAATATAAAAGCTGTAATTGGTACTACAGCAAGTATACAGGTGAAAAATTGTCAAGAAAGCAATCATCAAGTTCAACCATAGCAATAATCTTACTTCTGCATTCATTAATCAAGCAGATATATGTATATTTACTTTTATTGCTTTCATTTTTGTTGATTATTTAAAGCGTTTCGTTGTTATCAACTTATAATAGCATGAGAGTGGAAGAAAAGCATGTATTACTAAAACTAAAGAACATTCTATTGTAATCTATTTAATCAGCATGATATTTTTTACGCATCTATTTCAAAGAATTGTTTAACTTGTTGTTACTGCAGATGCATATTTTTCTTTTCAGAATCTCTTTCATCTACACTCAACATGTGTTTTATCTTGAAAATAAAAAGTTTCTTTTATTAAATTTTATTTTTAATATCTGAAAATGGTATGTACATTTATTAATCGTGTAAAAATATTATAAAATAGTTTGGATTATCGCTAAGTCAATGCAAAACTATAATTAATAATAAAAGTGTTAGACTTGAAGATAAACAACTAGCAATCGACTAGATCTGAGTTCGAAATTCCGAAAAAATAGACTTAATACTACTCTGACTGATCAGATCCTGTCAGAAAAATTTGGCGTGTCTAATAAATTTTGTTCTTTTTTTAGAGCGGTATTTCAGTAACAGGTAGTTGTTTTCTTCTAATTCAAATAGTTTTTTTTTGTCTTTTTTTATCAAAGCTAGAACAAAACTATTTGAATAATTTAGTTCCTATTAAAAGAAGTGTAGTAATAGTTCTTATGATTACAGCTGAGAACTCTGTGAATCAATCTGTTACAACTACAGCACACTTCCAACATAGTCTCATATCTAAACTAGAACTGTACTTATCAATCTCGATGTATGACTGATTAGGAAATATTCCAATACCAATATCCTATTTTTATTACAATTTGATGATTTCAGAAAGTTAGATAATCAAAAAATAGCATAAGAATAGAATAGCGTCAATTCTAATAATTATCAACACTTGAAATTAATCTAAAACGAAAGTAATAAAAGTTTAATTTATAAATATTGATTGTAACTCAACGAATATAAATTTATTCAATGATGAGAGAAGCGAGTTTCTTTTCTATATACGGGTTTCCTGCATATTTGGTAAGTAATTATTTATTGTCAGCTACTGACATCTACTATTATGCTAAATATATCTTATGTCGATGTCGATAGGACTTTATAAAATCTGATGAAGACAATACATGAAAGATGTAAATAAAGAATGAATGTAATTCAATCAAATTTGAGTAGTCTATTGTTTCATCCAATAGTTGTATGATTATTGTACAAAAAGAGATAAACGAAATCCTTTCATTAATTCATTAGAGCATATCTCTTTTCATCATGAATTCTACAGCCTTATTTGATGATGGCCCAGAAATTGAATTTTCAACCGAGATCATGTGCTCACGATTTAGTCCTATTACTCAAAATCTTTGCTTAGCCGGTGCAATTTCTGGTCATCTGCACTGGTCTGAACAATCATTTTTTCTTTGTAAATCATACCTGTTTCTATTTTATTTCTATCAATAGGATACAAATAAACGATGATGAAAATGAACGATCTATGTCAAATATACGTTCGATGAAAGTTCATAAAAAATCAGTTCGTGCCATTGGATTCACGCCTGATAGCCAGTCGATCGTAACTGTTTCTAAAGATAAATCAATAAAATTACGATCAACAGAGACTGGAAAAATGATCACCAAATATAAGCGAGCACATAAGTATTCTATTTTATTATTTTATGTTGTAAACTTCTGTTCTAATTTTGTACAGTTCTCCTATAAATTGTTTATGTGTCGTTGATAATTGTGTATTAGCAACAGGTGATGATGATGGTTATGTTAAGGTAAATGACATAAACAGAAAATATTTCAAATAAATAACAATTGAAAAATAAGTTATGGGATTATAGACAGAAAAAATCCTTAGCTGAATTTCATGATTGTGATGATTATATTAGTGATTTAACTTGTGGAAGTGATCGACGAACATTACTCACGACAAGGTATGTGTTGAAGATGATTTACTTCTGTTTTGAACTATGTTGCGATCTATTGTAGTGGTGAAGGTACATTAACTGTTTATAATGTTCGGAATAAAAAATTACAAATACAATCAGAACTAATGGACAGCGATTTAACAGCTTGTCAGATTGTTAAGGTAAAAAAACGAACTCATTTTCTTTTCAATTCTATTGTTTACTAGCCTAAGAGAATTTTTTATGGTTTAGGATGGCACTAAAGTTGTATGTAGTACAATGGAAGGTGTTTTATATTTTTTCAATTGGAAAGAATTCGGTAATATGTCTGATCGATTTCCTGGTCATCCAGGTGGCATTGAATGTCTTAGTACCCTTGATCAATCATTGATTGCAACTGGTTGTGAAGATGGAAAAATTCGGTTTAATTGTTCTTCTAGGCCTCTTGTCATTTTATTTATTTGTTTATTTTTCAGTGCTCTTAGTCTTTATCCGCATCGAATAATGTCTGTTATAGGTCGTACAAGTACAATGCCAATTCAAACATTATGCACATCGTGCGACACAGATTATCTTATTGGTACATCGACATCTCAAGAAACTTTACAATTAATTGATTCCAAACAGTTAAAAACAATATTAAATGAGAAAAAAAAGAAAGTTGGGAAGCGACAAAATAATTCATTTTTTGCTGACTTAGAAATGAATGAGCAGACAAAGTTTGATGATGAACAAGCACAATCTAGTGATGATAGCGATAGTAGTGATGATCACTATCAAAAGAAAAAACAACCGAAGAAAAAGAAAAAAAAAGTTGATTGTTGATTACTATTTTTGTTTTCCTTCTTTGTTGAATAAAACATGGAAATATGTTGAAAATTGCTAATATTGCTGATATTAATAACAGTTAGCATCAGAAATTTTGATGATGATAATAGGTTTTTTTTCATTTTTTTTACAAATCATACAAAGTTATTGAGAATTTAATTAGAAAAAAGAAAATTCATTTTCTAATGACATACATAATTAGATAGGCTTACATTAACCCGTCAAATTATTAATAGTTAATTGCAACGCTTGTATGATTATTTTAATATTATTATACATATAGCCATTCTGTCGGAAACATAACAAAGGAAAAAATATTTTGAATAATTGATCAACTAAAATTCCTACAAATATTTTGTATAATGAGAGAAGTCACTAGAAAATTCAATTTGTTGAATAAATTGAACTATATCGAACAGTAAACATCCATATATCACTGTATTTAGCAGAGTATCAACAACAAACATTTAATTAAATACATTTATAACAATAAGTCAACTAAAATAAAATATTAATAAAAACATTGAAATTGTTAACATTTTTGCGCAATGAATTTTTATGTCTCCTAAAGTACTATGATTGACTCTAGTTTCAGATTGTTAATAAAGAGCTGTTTTAAATGCTGACAAGAAAGAAAAACATAGAGAAGTATCGTAAAATTATTATTTGGTATTTTATCCTAAAAGTAACAAAAATTGAAATAATATTCGAGCCAAAACCAGTAACGATTAGATGCATAAGAATATAATGATTGGTAGAACATTCATTTTTTGATAAACAATACGAATAACGGTTTCAATTCTTGATAAACTAATGAACACGCTAACAATCATAACAGATGTAAACAGATTTTCTTAGTAAAAGAAACATTAAAGACAAGAGCAGATATTAGCTTTCTAACAGTTTCCTGAATTTGATTGTCTTTATTGATACAATGCTCACCCTAGAAAATGATAGACAAGGTAACTCTATTGAAATTAGTACAAAAAAATTAATAAAAAAGCTTGTTGGCGCAGCCCCTTTTGGGGCTAAAATGTGGAACTCACATATATTCCTTAGACTTACTAAAGTAATTCAAAGTAGTTCATCTGAAAAATCTACCTTGATTTCCAAAACCTATAATTAGGTCATTGCCTATTAGCTTATGTCTGTAATGGAGTATTAATTGCTAGCTCGTATATTTTACAATACCAGATACGAGTTTCTATGGCCTGTAATGGGCAAGTATTGCTTTTTTCGTGTAGTCTGTAATTAAAAAAGAAAGAAATAGCAGCCTAATTAGTCTAAGTCGTAATTAGCACTTTTAAAACTAATTAATGTCTGTAATGGGGAGGAGGTGGGGAACCGCAAAAATCTCGCTTTTAAACTTATACTCACCATTTTCTTCGAAAATATGTGTTAGTTTCACAAAATGATTATGTGCTTACGTATCGGTTAGATAATCAAAGTTCCATTCATCGATATGTATAATAACAAATATTAAAATATCTAATTCTATTTGAACACATGTATTTTTTGATAATTTGGAAAAAGAATAGCAATTGTATTGCAAACGCTACGATAAGTGAATAGATTCCATTAATAATCAATTATTGAAAAATGTTTGTTGTTCATTATGGTTATGGATGTTATCAACATATATTCTGATACGCTCCTAACAACTGATGAGTATCTTATATTATTGCATCTCTACTGTAGCTTTTTAACAAGAAAACCACCGTATAAAATATTTAAAATAATACGAATAAGTGAAAAATGATGTTGCTATTGTTCGTAATGACGATGTTGTTCAGATATGAATCGATGGAATATTTCATATTGGAAACCATTTTAAATAGCTTAATAAATATAATAAATACTATATGTCAACATTTTCTAGTTGAAAATATTTAAAAATTAAGAATAAATTCATTTTTAAATCTAAGATTCAAAAGTCGTTTGCGCAGTGATGAAATTTAAATCTACCTCTCTTAAAAATAGTATAGAGTATTGATATGATGAATATATTCATTTAATTCTTTTTTTTTACAACTCTCAATTATTTGATTACTTTGAGAAAACATTTAAAAAAAAAGTTCTAACCGTTTATGTCAAGTTAATATACCTGATCAATTGTTCTAAATGTCTTTCATCTGTGCCGATAGGTAAAAAATAGCGTGTATAGCCAATCGATTTTATTTGCCTTTTCTTCCTTTTTCTCTTCTATTGACTTTTCTTGTGACTTCTAACACCAATAGCAAAAGAAATAATAACAACAAGTGTCTTTGAATTAAGATATTCAGACAAATTTTTCTCTCCCTTCTGCTCTAAATAAATATCTCTATATTGTTCTTCGTTGAATTGTGAACAGTGAGAGATTCATTTCTTTTTACATTTGCACAAATGCAAACTATGAATATAACAAATGATTCTACATCAATTTATCCATATTCTTCACTACAGTTTGACTGCAATCATCAAGAATTAGATGAGACTAATACATCAACAATATCTGTGCCTGCATCATTGGATTTGGCGAGTTTTAAAAATCATAATTATTCATCCATGCTGATTATGAATCATCAACAAAAGCAAAGTATCAATGAAGATAAAGACAAAATTTATCGTGAGTATAATTTTTATTATGTTTCGTTCATTATTATAAAAGACACGGTTTCGCTATTCTCGGCTATTATTCAACTTAGGAAGTATGAATACATTGAATTCTTTTAATACTAATTTTTCTAAATGGTAAAGCAAACAAAAAGCCTTGGTGTCTAGTAATTCTAAGCTTTGGATTAAGCAAATAGAATGAATTTCCGATCATGAAAAAAAGAATTCAAATAGCAAATAGCTTCTGTCTTTTATTGATCATAAGGAATTGTTTTTAATATAAGTATAGCTATATAGAGCTATCCGACGAGTATATGTGTACATAATGCAGTCGACAAGTCATTTTTTCATTTCTCTCAGTAAGCACATCGTTCGTGCTCAAAAGAAAACAAGAGAATATCGCCATCTAACAATGTGAAAAAAACAGTACTACAATCAGCAGTGTCCAAGGAGTGAGAAATAGGAATTCCTAATGTGCCGAGGAATTGTCAGTGTCGCTCTGATAATTCCTAGAGGAAATGGGAATCAACTGTAGGTTTCCTCACAGTTCCACCATTCACGAAAGTCGCGATATTGCTGTTTTTAAAATAATTTTTGCATGAAATCATTAATTCTCACAATTTTGCAAGCGAAAATGAGTGTAAGAACAAAAATTATCGTGAATATTCCATATTTTTATCTTTAGTATGCAAGGAGCTGTAGGGGAACTGATGAGAAATTCCTAATCCTCAGTCTTTGGACACCCCTCACTAACTTAGCACACCTGTATTTTCTCCTTGCAATTTAGTGACAAGGGATGTATTTTGATGATATATGTCTTATAGAATAAAAGCGAAAACCTCAGATTTAAATCCGAGTGTTATGTGTACTTCACCAGTGAAAAGGTATATTCACTTTGTTTTTTATTTTTTTAGATAGTTTGATCAAACTCAATCTGCCATCAATTAGTTTTACTTTTTGAAGTACACATAACACTCTGATTTAAATCCGATATTTCCACATTTATTTTTACTTAACAGCTAATTTGAAATCGAATATCATAATAGAAGAAGTATCGTCTATTTTTCTTCAATTCGGTATTCATTCTTGAAAGACCGATATACCAAACCCAATTAAATAATTCCTTTAGTTTATTAAGGTCTCATAAAATTCTAAGTACAAATAGTAAAATAATTGAAAAAATAAAGACCAAGATTATTTTTTTCGGTTTCTAGCCTTTAAAAATGTTTCTCTAAATCGTTACGCTTAGAAGCATTGTTCTAAAACTGTTTCTTGATTGAAAGTTTTTTAAAATAAATGAGACACAGTAGCAGAATTACTCTTAAACCTTGGTACACATGAACATAGTAAAATATCTGAAATTTTATTTTGTGAGAAAGAATTTATATTTTTCATTTTAAACTATAAAATTAGTTCACAGAAAAATACATCAATTTATTTTTCATATTCTTCTCATGAAGCTACGGTTCCAGCCACGAATTTTAATTCTTCAACTATTCAATACGGTGGTCATCATTGTCATCTAGTTTATCCACTCGGTCATTGTCAACAAACAACCATGGAAAATAGTAATGGTGATAATATTGATAGCACAGAAGGAGAGAAGACAAAAGATAATAGAAATGTGTTATCAAATGATTTAAATGAAGATGAATATTGCAAAATTTGTGGAGACTTAGCATCCGGATGGCATTGTGGGTAAGTTAATCAAGTTGCTTAATTTTACTTAATTTTTATTTTTACTGTCGATTGATTATTATTAATATTTGTTTTTAGAGCAATAACATGTGAAGCATGCAAAGTAAATTAATTGAAATATATAAATATTGTTTTTTGTTTTTTATAAAATAACTAAAAATTATAATATAGAAATTTTTTTTACGTTCAATTTCAACATGTAATGGAAAGAAAAAATATAAATGTCAAAGAGATTTAAACTGCTTAGTAACAAAGCGTTCTCGAACTCAATGTCAATATTGTAGATTTCAAAAATGTATCTCTGTTGGAATGAAAGCTCATGGTAAATTATCCTTTTGTATTTATTCTTTTTTTGATTATATTTATCGAATAAACTAAAGAATCGGTTGGATCAAAAACTGAAGATTTATATAAAAAATTGCCGTGCCTTATTTGTAATGCGTCAGCATCAGGTATTCATTTTGGTGCTGTTACATGTGAAGCTTGTAAAGTAAGAAAAATATAAACTTAATAAGAAATAGTTTTAATCAAAAACAAAATTCTAAAGGGTTTTTTTCGTCGATCAATTAAAGAAAATGCTCCTGAACGATATCATTGTGCTGAAAATAATAATTGTGAAATAATTTCGACGTCAAAGATAACTTGTAGAGCATGTAGATTTCGAAAATGCATTGAAGCTGGAATGTCGATGAGTGGTCAGTTACAGCTATTTTATTTTATTTTTCAATTTAAATACACCGAAAATCACCTAATTTATTTTAGCTTCTCGAATTGGTCGACAATCGAATCTTTTTAAAGAAAGGCAAGTTTATATATAAATAAATTAATAAATTCACAATGGATTAAATAGTATTCGACAATTACAAAATAATTCAACATCAATGGCAACTATTATGGATTCAGCTCGTATTGCATCGATGGCCAAAAAGCGAAAAACAAAAAATAAAATTGGAAAAAGTGAGATTCATAATTTTGCAGAAGAAATATTTTAATAATTATTTTAATTTATTAGTATTTGCATCAATCAATGAAATTGATATTGAACTTTCACCGGCAATAAGAGAATTTGTTGATAAAGCTTTTGATGCTTATCTTATCTATTTAAAGGTGATTATTGTTTACTTTTTTTTACAATCGTTTGTCTTTTCTATCATAAAAGCAACGATAATTCGATATTCTTTTAAAAGAATCACTTTTATTTTTGCTTTATTCATCGACAGGATTTACCACGATGTATTCCACGTGAGTCAGTTTGGTCGACTATGACATCACAAATGATTATTTATGCTCAAGCAATTATGAATTTCTGTCAAAGCATAATACCGGGTAATATACACATCATCATCGCAGTTGCTATCTAATATTTTGGTTTGGTTTGGTTTTTTCGATAATGTTGTTGTTTGTCTTCAATGTTCTTCAGAGCGTTTTAAATTATCCGTTCATTTTCATGGCAATTATAATGAAAATGAACAGAAATTTTATCCAGTTTTTGTTTTAATTTTTACTACATTTTAATCAAGATTTACTTCAATAGGTTTTTCAAATACGTCTGACAAATATGAAATCATTTCATCATCTATCAATTCTGTTATTATGGTAACACTATTACGTAGTAAAATATTAACAAAATCTTCATCTGAAATTATACATTCAATATGGAATTATTGGCAAGCAGAACCAACATTATCAATGGAATTAAATGCACATGTTCCACAATTAGCACAAGCAGAAAATTTATTTCTATCATTCGAATCCAAATTACGACATCTTCGTTTAGATGAAAAAGAATTTTCTCTTCTTCTATTAATGATTATTACTCGAAATAGTAAGAATAGTTTTGTTTGAATAAGATAAATAAAAGAAAAAAAAGAATTTTATTTTTATTTTGTAAGAACTGAATGTAATTAACGGAGACAATAAATTATGGTCAACATATCAATATGAATGTGTTCAGGCATTCTCTGAATATAGTCAAGGTAGAGTTTATCATCATTCTGGTTGTTTATTTTAAAATTATTCATATTTTCAGCTCGGCGATCGAAAATTAATCGAGAATTTTCAATTGAATTTTATGATATTGCTTTTTTGGTATCTCAAATTCGTTCATTAAATCATCGCGTAATTGAATGTTTTATGAATCTTCCATGGCCCTATGTACGAAATTTACCTTCATTCTTTTATCGTATTTATGTACCATGTTGTGATAGTTCTCTATCGGTTTTAAATTCCAGTCTATATAATAATTGTGTAGCTTTATGATATCTTCGATATATAAACTGAATATCTGTGAAATGCTTTCGTGTTACTCTGCTTTCTAGCTTACATTCATACAACATTGAGTTATCTGATGAATTGAAGTAGATTAGGAAGATATTGACAACTACATTGTGGGTCTTCAATATGTCTTTACTGAAAAAAAAACAGCTAGGCACATAGCCAGGAAGAATTAACAACGTATGGCTCCATAGATTTCTCATGAATCACTTGTAGTCACTTTGTACAGGTTTGATTGTCTGTTTAACTCTACACTACTTTGTCTTCTCATAAAAGTAGACTAACTATAACTAATGCTTATAGTCTATTTGCAATAGCACTCTCATAAACATGGCACTTCATTGGAATATATTTTTTCTAGCTTACGAATGCGAGACACTCTGTAAAGGACTGATTGGAAATATCATTTAAAGAAAGAATCATATTTTTCTCAGCATAATTCTTATATTTGAAGACAAAATTGATCTTTATGAATCTATTAAATTAGTACTTAATGGATATTAATTAGCTTATTAATCGATTTTCTGTCGTCACTATGTATCTTGAATAGAAAACCAAAGCATACAATTGTAGCATTTGATTTTAATGAATTCTTTGTTTCAAATTTAAGTATGAATAATAATTGTTTTCGAGTAGTACAAAAAAGAATTTTTGCTATCAAGTCTACATTATTTGAAATAAGAGCTAATAAACAAATCTAAATGTTTGAGATTTCAACAGTAAAATACATTAGAAGAAGAAAGGGCAAAAATAGAAAAATTTGTCGACACTTTCGAATTATAATAGCTACATATGCAGTGGGACTGTTTCTATCGTAATTACCTATTCTTCTATTTATAACTACTTTGAAAGCAATGATTAATTAGCATAATTAGTTGATAATCTATAATCTTGCAGAATATTAATGGTTACTTAAAAAAGCTACTGCATTTATTATTATTGAATTTTTGATGACTTGGAAATTTATAAATATCATATTGAATATGATAATGTATCATTTCTTTCATTATCAAAAGTGAATTGTGTCCACTTACAGATTTATCGTCAAAAAAAACAAATTTAAGCTATACGTTTATGTTTAAGATTGCACACAATCTGATTTCTCCAATCATATCATTCTTCGTTATATCAAACTAGATGGATACATGCATACAGTCAACTAAAACAGAGATACAGCTTTATTTAGAATGTTACTTTTTTCAACTCATTTTGATGAATAAAATGGTAGTAGTTTATGGAAACACGAGTTCTAAAAAAATGTAGAAATCATTGATGAGTTTAGATCTGAATGTGTTTTATTGATGTTTATGACTTGTTAATATGTTGTCGACTGTGCAAGACAAATCGATTTTGTTTTGTTCATTTGTTAAAACAGACTGCGAATAAAATAGAAATATATTCGAAGAGATTGCAACAAATATTGACATGATAAGACATTGAGTATTATACTTTTAGTGTAGCGTGGAGTAGAATTAATTCAACATTAATCAATACCGTCAAATAAACCAATTAAAACAAATCTTTCATACATAAGATTTTAATTTTTCAAAATGTCCTATGAATTTCTTTTCAAAGATAAATATAATAAAACAAATTTTTACCGAGTGCACTTAGATGCTTTTATTTTTGATCCATAAAAGAGAGTAATAATACGTATTAACACGATACATAAGAATATTACTAATGCTGTGAGCATGCACTTTTATCAAATAACAAATAAAGCAAATACATAATCTAAACTACCTTCTCGATTTTTTTTCTAAACTCCTGAAAAATATGTCAACACTTATCACCGTAGAACACAATAGGCAAAAAAGTATTTTGAATAAAAAACAGATATTGCAAGACTAAATACATTCGAGAGTAAGTGTTTTATATGAAGTTTCATCAATTTTAACAAAAGTTTTTTCTTGAAAAGAAAACATATAAACTTCGCCTTTGGATATATCTGTCCAAAGTGCATGCACTTCTAACTCATTCCGATTGAGTCGTTCCTTTAAAAATGGATACGAAAGAAAATTTTTCAATTGTTCTAATGTATTTACCTAGTATGAAGAAAGTTTATGTATTCTTTTTTCAAATGGATTAGTTTTAATTTACTTGAGAAAATTTATCTGAAGGCTTGAATTGATTATATGGATCAATATAAGCTTCAAAATCATCTTCATAATGTTGTGCACCAGCAAATATAAGTTTCCGTTCGAAACCAGTGGAACTTTCAAGTTTTTTGAATTGTTCAATTGTACCTCGCCCATGAACTCTAAGCCAATCTTCAAGTGGACCTTTCGATGGTGATTTTAAATCATCGCGAATTGAATAAAGTAAATTCATTGCTTTACAATCAGAATGGCCAATAACAACAATAACTTGAGCTTTATTTATTGAGCAAGCCAGTTCAAGAGCACCACATTCACCTCCGACTGTTACATTATTTCGAAAACAATTATGATTTGGAACTAAGTTACCTTTTCAATAAAAACATTTATGATGAGAAAAGAAAATTAGAATAAAACAATATTGATTACCAGGATTTCGAACTATAAATAGTTGACCAGGTACAGCTTGAGTTATACGAGATGCAACAACACGGCTGTCAACACAGGTTAAAAGAAGACCCTCGGGCTAAACAGTAACAGTTTCTTATTGATAACAAAATTTTCATCGAAGACTATCTTACCGAAGGTCCTGTTGCTACTTTTTGAAATTCTTCTAATAATAGTGGTCGTAATGTTTGTCGGTATTTCATTATTCCATCAAGAATTCGACTCATTCCTTTACGTAATGAAAATGAGGAAGCCATTTTGATTCTTTTTTTTATGAAATCTGAAAGAGAAATTCTATTGCTTGATGTTTAGTAAGAAATAAAAATGGGGTACTTCTACACATTACACACACCCCACTTATCGATGACACAGAACAGACAAAGAAAAAATATATGATTGGCTTTTCTCTTCTCTGGTGAAAGTGAGTTTGATTAGAGGACGCCAGATG